ATATGTGGGTGTATGGGTGGGTGTGTGTGTTTATGCAGAATGCTTATGAAATTCAATTAATTAATTAATTTTTCTTTTAATTTTGTTTTATATTGTAATGAAGTATAAATACATAATTCTTGTGAATTGTGAACACATGTAAATATTGGTACAAGATCACCGTATAATAGGAGCTGAAAACGAAAAATTGAAAATCATGAATAAAGAGGATAAATAAAGGTGGGTGATCCCACGAAAAACATTTTAAAAAATGGTTTTATTAAAAATATAAAATGTTTGTGTAGGTATACATATTCGGGTGCTCAAATTAAACATAGGCCTACATTGAAACTCAAATTGTACTTGGCTTTATTAATAATATATTTGCTTATGTACCCGTATTATCAACAAACCCTCTCTAAATCGTTTAAAAAAAGCTTAAAAATGCTCAGATCGTCGGAGCGGCGGGGGGCGTGGCCCCTGTCGCTTGGACCACCCCCCACCCTGCAGCCAACTGGGCACTCACGAATTTCAAATCTCTCAGGTTGGTAACTATGAGTTTAACTGTACTAAGTAATACTAAACCTGTAGGATCTCCAGTAGTAAACTGATTTGACGTGTAGCTCTTGTATCATACAAAATGCAAGAAGTTACTGATTACAATTTATTCCAAGGACCGCATAACAGTATGCATAACAACAGCAACTATGGGAGACCATCAGGGCCAAATTAAAATGGATGTTACAGTACAGTGTAATTATGAAGTCAAAATTAAACAAACAAAAGCAGTAAAATCATAAGTGATGTTTTATTAATACTGTACAATAAAGTATTTACAAAATATTTTCTTAAGTTAACATATCTTTTGTCTTTGTGTATAGCGGTGGCGCCAGTGGGGCCAAGACCCCTATGTCAACCGATGAATGACTAAGTCGTCGAAACAAAAATAAAAAAAAAATAATAATTTGCCTATCCAAATAACGCTATTTTGATTGCCAATCCCAAATATTGTGGTCTAAAAGCACATTTAGGACCAAACCAAACCATAAAAACTATACACCATGAACCCTAACAGGGATTTTTTTCCCCGGGCTGTCGACCGAGGCTTTTTCGTCGCCTGGGTTTGGACCCTTCCAGCTGACCTCTTGTTGGCAAATTTCTGGCGCCACCGCTAGTGTGTGGTCCAATGAAATGTACAAATTATATTTCAAATAATATATTCAGTTTTAGGTGCTTCAAAAATTAAATGGTTTTTGGTTTTGTAAACATAAAGCATGGTATCTATAGAAGCCCAAATTCTTGCAATCAATTTTGTGTTTCTATTGGTGGTTTGGAGATCCCTTGTTTATTTTTACTGCAATTGAGAAACCTCAGGAGGGAAAATGTTTAGTTTTTTGTCTTTGGATTTTTATGTCCACAAATTTTATAAAATAAACACTCCTAACAATTTGCAATTGTATCATATTTTAAATTTTGTTATTATCAGTCTAATAAAATAGTGAGTGATTCGACATTTAAGCCTGTTTCCATAAAATACCAGCGACAGGCTATCAGTGCTTTTTTGGGGACAGCTATAATGTATTGAATACAGTGATAACACTAGCGAGAAGGAAACGAGGGTTAACATGATGAAAAGCGTGGCTGTATAAATAACATTATGAGGCTAGAGAATGGAATTGTTTCTAGTTGTGTGAAAGAAACTTTTCGTTCACTAGGTTTTAACCCAGCGCCCTGTGACTAGAGAACAAGCTACATCTATATTTTATTTATGACTCTGCTGGTGATGGTATATGTACTGTATACTAAGGCAATACAATGAATTACAGTGGGAACCACACTTAATATCCCTAGAAAAAAAATGTAATAAAATGAAAAGTTTAAAAGAAAATAAGACTACAGAATTATTCTTTTTGTAAATGTTTGTTATTTTTTCCAATTATATATTAACAGAATTATTATTAAATTATTTACAATATTGCCATCTACTGTCGCTCGCCAACTTTTAAGATTTGTGCAGGAGTCCTTGGCTCGCTAGGAGAACCGGTTACCATGATCCAATGGTTAAAATCCTTCTCTGCTCTATGAGTATCGAGACTGGTGTATGCAACTGTTTCATAATCAATGCCAAAAGGAGTTCTGAAATTCACAATAAAAATATTATTACTATATATTTATTTGTCAGGTTGCTTAATAATATTTACATCATTTATCATTATACAGTATTTTCAATATTGGATACCCCAAATGCTAATACTGTGTTATTATTCTCATCAAATTATTCATGATAAATAACAAGGTGTACTGTAAATATTTATGTATTCAGTAAAAAATAACACTCGCACAAATGAACCCACTAGCACTAACAAGAAAATAAGTACTGTCCTGTAATTACTTTTTGCATAAAATTTAAAAAAGCTCAATATTCTTACCTTACAATATTATCTGTAAGAATGCAAAGATCCTGATTGGTTTTGCAGTGGTTGAAAATTATCTTTTGATTCGCCTGTTAGAGAAAAGATGTTCATTATAAATTATATAAATGCTCCAACATGCATTTCTTTCACTATTAACAAACCATTACATTTTGGAAGAAACAGACTATGGAAAGCATTACAGTATATAATTTATAAATGATAAAATTTCATATTCATATCATCAAGAGGTTGGCAAGATTAGCTGTTGGAATATCATTATGGATCTCTTACCGGTACCGGTAAACCTTCTGTTTCCATTCGTAATTGTGGATTGTAGCAAAGAATCGTCCATTCTGTTGCATACGATGGTTCCTCAACAAATTCAATAAGCTGTTTGCGTGACTTCTTTGCAGATGCCTGGAATGTTGCCATGTCACTCCTCAAAACCAACTATAACAAAAAACATAACATTGACATTATCAATATTAAACACACTGTATTGGATAATTAATCATGTGCAATATTCTTTCTTTCTCATTCACAAACAAAAGAAAGTTGTAGTAAATTAATTCAATTCAACTTATTACTTCAGTGTGCCATCAAGGGAGATTATCACAGTACTTTCATCAACTATCAAGGATACTTTATACATCTAGCACACAATAACTTTTATATATATTTATTAATTTGTTTTTTCTTTTATTGACACTGCACTTTAAATACAACTAATATCCAAAGTAAAAATATGAAACTAAGAAAATGGAATTGACATTGGAGAATATATTATTTGTAAGGAGAGGTCAACGGATTGGGCTCTTTTTAGAGAGAGAACACAGAGTATAATATTTATCATCATTCAAACACAGTAGCCTGGGTGCAGTAAGAAATTAGCGGGAAAAAAGTAAAGGAAAATTTATTTTTGGTTTTTCTGAATCAGTATATCATATAGTGTCTCAGAAAAAAAATCCCCATTCTTAGAGCTTGGGCAATTTTTTTTATAGCACTACTCCTCACCTTCGTTAAAAAATTTAATCAGAATAAAAATTTCAAGATGGCTGCCATTTTGGCGGTAAAACTCTTTTAAAATGTAAATTTAACTTTATTGTTATCAGAGCAATTTCAAAACAATATATATCCATACACACAAACACACACACATATATATATATATATGTGTGTGTGTGTGTGACTTACGTTAGATATATATATATATATATATATATATATATATATATAAATTGCTTAGCTGTTGCTTATCATTTTTGTATCTCTACTGAGATCCAGCCATTGTTTCCCACAGCATTTTTGTTTTCCAGTATTTTGCCTTTTAATCTATATATCATTTTCTACTGTTTGTATCATTTTGATCCAACTCTGCTGTAATTCTGGAGGGTACTTTGGACAATTTCAAATTTCTACGACGCTTGTTGGAAAAGCGCGTCAGGTATCGTAACCATCTTATTATTTATCTTGAACATCGTTCTAACAATTCGGCTCCTAAAGGACTACAATTTCATGTCAGGTCTGGTATTCCATTCGCAGATCGTGACTTCCATTCCCGCTGGAATGG